AAGCCATCCTCCCATCTCAGCCTCTCAAGTAGCTGGGACTATAGGCGCACACCACTATGCCTGGCTAATTTTTTTAAAATTTTTTTGTAGAAACAGGGTCTCATTATGTTGCCCAGGCTGGTCCATGACTTTCTGTTTCTTAATTTATTCCTTTATTTTGGTAGAAAACATCCTCTAGTACCTTCCTGAGAAAGATTACATCGGTAAAGTTTTAAGTTTGTATGCTTAAAATGCCTTCATTTTTCTGTCATACTGGCTTGCTACTTAGACTGGGTATAGAGTTCTAGATTGGAAATACTTCTCCTTCAGGATTGTGAAGGCATCGTTTCATTGCCTGCTTGATTCCAACACTGCTGATGAAGTATCTGAAGTCATTCAGATTACTGATCCTGGCCAGGCATGATGGCTCACGCCTGTAATCCCAGCAGTTTGGGAGGCCAAGGCAGGCGGATAACTTGAGGCCAGGAGTTCGAGACCAGCCTGGCCAACATGATGAAACCCCCGTCTCTACAAAAAATATAAAAATTACCTGGGCATGATAGCTCATGCCGGTGATCCCAGTACTCGAGAGTCTGAGGCACAAGAATTGCTTGAACCTGGGAGGTGGAGGTTGCCGTGAACTGAGATCCTGTCACTGCATTCCAGCCTGGGTGGCATAGTGAGACCCTGTCTTAAAAAAAAAAAAAAAACCCAGGATGGTCCTCGATCTCCTGACCGATCGTGATCCTCCCATCTCGGCCTCCCAAAGTGCGGGATTACAGGCGTGAGCCACTGCGCCTGGCCTCATCTTCCAATTCTTTTATTTGAAATTACTTTTTTTTTTTTTTTTTTTTTTGAGATGGAGTCCTTGCCCTCTCACCCAGGCTGTAGTGTAATGGCACAATCTCAGCTAACTGCAACCTCTGCCTCCCGGGTTTAAGCAATTCTCCTGCCTCAGCCCTCCTGAGTAGCTGTGATTACAGGTGCGCACCACCACGCCCCAGCTAATTTTATTTATTTTTTATTTTTGTATCTTTAGTAGAAACGGGGCTTTCACCATGTTGGCCAAGGCTGGCTCTCGAACTCCTGATCTTGTGATACACCTGCCTCAGCCTCCCAGAGTGCCTGGATTGCAGGCGTGAGTCACCAGGCCCGGCACTTCCAACTTGGATTTCTAAGAATTTTTTTATCTGAATTTTCCATGTTACAGCGACTTTGTTATTTTTTCTTGGTACAGTATCTCAATTCCCTAAACTTTCTTCTTATATAATTTGTTTATTTCAATGTGTGTTTTCTTTCTGGAATCAGATCTTCCATGTTAAACAACTTACCGGTCATACGTCTTGGTTAAATCCTTGGTTATTTGCTCCTTAGTAAGAGAAATGGGACTAGGCCGGCACAGTGGCTCAATGCCTGTTAATCCCCAGCACTTTGAAAGGCTGAGGCGGGTGGATCCCCTGCGATCAGGAGTTCGAGACCCAGACTGGCTTCACATGGTGAAAACCCCGGCGTCTTCTAGTAAAAAATACAAAAATTAGGCAGAGCGTGGTGGCGCATGCCTTGGTAGTCAGCCCAAAGCTACCATTAGGAGGCTGGAAGCACCGAGAATCCACTTGAACACAGGAGGCGAGGTGTGCCAGTGAACTGAGAATCGTGCCATTGCCAACCAGCTTGGGCAACAAGAGTGAAAACTCTCCCGTCCAGAAAAAAAAAAAAAAAAGAAATAACTATTTGGTTTAACATTTGTATATATGTTGTCCTG